TTAAAATCAACTAGAAGAGAATAAATGTCTGGGCTTAAGAAGTGAGCCAGAAGAATGCACAAGTGGCGGAGCAGCAGATGGCTCAGATCGGGCTGTGCTCGGGCTCGTTGTGTTTAAATAGATCATTGAATTGGGCCCTGGCGAGTTTGTCTCTTCATGGCTACGGTGTGTTATACCTCTTGATGTGCATGTTATATTCTATTGTTCGCACCGTTGGGTTTTTGTGCATAATTAAGAGGCATGTGGGACATAGGGCTTTGAGACTGAAGGAACAGAGGATGGGGGTCTTCTTCAGAACAGCTGAGCAGTGAGGAGACTCACTTCAGTAAATATGGCGAGCTGCCCTATCACGGCAAGCACGGTAAATTTAGCAGGCAACAGCACAAGACAACTCTGCAGGGAATGAAAGTGCAGAGGATGTTCTCTACATAGTGTACTGTTACTAGACAGTGATCACTTGGAGACGTGACAGCATCTCTGTGTGCCTGCGTGGGACAACCTCTGAACGGTTACATAATTGCTGCACTGCAGGAAAAGATAGAGATAGGTCGCATATATCTGTGGTTCAGTCTGCAATAAGACGCAAGGAGTAATGCAGAGTAGGACAGAGGACAAATGGACAACAAATATTAGGAGGATATAATATCTTGCACAGTTTTGCTATTATAAATGGAAAACATGACAAAAATTCACACAGAATGTGTTCTTGCATTTGAACATTTTCAACGGATGAACAGCACACGTGCTTGTAACAGTTGCCCCACCCCTTCTTCTGATTGGTCCACTGTTTTGAAACTGACATGGATTAGCTACACAGAGTCAAAAGTTGAACATTTGACTTTAAATGACAATATCAAACAAATTCAAGTTAAATAAACAATAACTTACTGATATAAAAAACAGACTCTTATTTTTCAGTAATTCAACAGCCTGTCATCAATGATTCCCTAAGTATTGTAATACCTATTGCAAGTTTAGAAGTTTTGACACTTATATCAAATGCTGCAATTTTCATAATTTATGAATTGAAAAAAAATGTTACGACCATTTTAATTTATGTGGAATTTACTATCCATAAATGTGCAAGATATATTTTTTTCCTTTCCCTATCCCATGATCATGGCAACATTTCAATACATAAGTGAGGAGCAGGCTTCACTCAATGTATATACTTATAAACTTTAAAGGGATACTCCACTTTTTTTGGTTATAGGCTCATTTTACAACTCCCCCAAAGTTAAACTGTTGCGTTTTACCGTTTTTGAATCCATTCAGCTGATCTCCGGTTCTGGTGGTACCACTTTTAGCATAGCTTAGCGTACATCATTGAAGTGGACATTACCATTAGCATTTCTCAAAAAAAAAAAAAAAAAAAAAATCTGCACTCTTCAGACTCTTCTGTAATAAGACTGATGGGAAATGTAAAGTTGCGATTTTCTAGGCTGATATGGCTAGGAACTATACTCTCATTCCTGCGTAATAATCAAGAAACTTTAGTGCTGTACCATGAGTGCAGCAGGCGTAATGATATGACACAGCGCCTTCACTCAGGGGAGTTATCTCCAAAAAAAGTGGAGTATCCCTTTCAGAGTGCTGGCCTGGATGAATGAATGCTTCAGGGCAAATAAAATAAAATAACATATGCATAACATTTCAATATTTCAATTCTTTACATCTATAAAAAATTCAGCTTCCTCTTAAAATAAAAAAATTGAAAAAAAAAATTGGCACAAATAGCATTTTTAAAAACAGCTCTAGATGCACAATGGTCAACAACACGTTTAGTGCGCATTTACATAGACAGTAACAAATTAAAAGCCGCGTGTTGTTTTTTGCCCCCTTTTGAAGTGTATGCTTGGTTCGGCCTGGTAAACAAGATCAATGAGGTCATGTTTGCTCTCACCTGAGTCCAGTGACCACGGTCAGAAGAGACAAATGATGAGCTATCTGCCAGCACACAGCATACAGGAGAACAGTCACATTGTATAAATCACATCTAGCCTGAACCTCCAGAACACAGCTGGCCTGTGGTACACAAGAAAATGATTATGCACAATCCACAGGCTTTGCCATAGCCCAAGGCCAAGAGCAACTCGAAACAGCCTGAGACTAGGAAGGGTGCAAACAGCATGCATTCTTGCATTTGCTCTGAAACCTAAAGGGACCGTATTAATCACTTATTCATAACAACCATCATTGTATCTTAATGAGTGTCATAAGACATTATCATCCATTATTTTCCACTTAATGTCTACGAACAGCATCTGTGGCTTGACGTTGATTACGACAGAGTAATTCCAATTCATTTTTGTTCAAACATGTGTATTAAAGAAAAGTCAAATTTTCAAATCATATTTACTCACCCCATGTTATTCCAAACTCTTTTTCTTCTGTGTAAAAGAAGATATGTTGGTAACCAAACAGTTTTGGTTCCCATTGATCCCAAACATTACATTACATTATGTCATCTTTTTTCACAGAGTAGTCATATTTTGGGTGGGCTATCCATTTAAAGTGGCATTCAGTAATTTATTCCTTATTAAAATTTTTATTCCTATTATTATTCCTATTTTATTCCTATTATTATTCCTTATTTTATTTTGCTCTACGGTAGTCAATGGAGCCTGATATCTGTTTGGTTACCAACATTCTTCAAAATATCTTCCTGTGTGTTCAGCTGAACAAAGGTTTGTATACAGATTTGTAACAACTAAAGAGTAAATGATGACAGAATTTTAATTTTTGAGCTAGGACTATATTTTTAGGTAGAGGAATTGAATTCAGTGTTAATTTTTATGAACTGAGAGACAAATCAAACTTAAAGGAATAGTTCACTTTTAAAAAAAACTTTTGCTGATAATTTACTCACCCCATGTCATCCAAGATATTCATGCCATTCTTTCTTCAGTTGAAAAGAAATTAAGGTTTTTGATGAAAACATTCCTGTTCAAACTCGTTTATCAAAATGAACAAATCTTTGTTCAAATTCAACGAACGAAATGAAAGAGTTGACACGGTAAAAGATTCGTTCATTTTGATGAACGAGTTCGAACACGAACGCACATCACAGAACAGAGCAAGGCGAGCGTTTGTGCTTATAAAACTTAAACTTTGTTATTTATTTTTTTAAATGAGCGATCGTTTTGCTTCATAAGACCCTTATTCATCGTCTGAAATCATTTAAAGCCCTGTGAACAGTTTGCAGTTTGCAAGTTTCTTTTGGACCTTGAACCGTTTGGTTCCCATTGAAGTCCATTATATGGAGAAAAAATCCTGGAATGTTTTCATTAAAAACCTTAATTTCTGAATTTGACTGAAGAAAGAATGACAAGGATATCTTGGATGACATGGGGGTGAGAAAATTATCAGCAAAGTTTTTTGTAAAAGTGAACTATTCCTTTAAGAAATGTAACCGCCGTTAAATTAAACAAGAAATTTAACCTTTAGTAGTAGTTTTAGTTTCTATAAGGTACTCACCCTCATTTCGCTCCAATCCCGTATGACTTTCCTTCTTTCTTCAGTGGAACACAAAAGAAGTGGTGGTCGTTCTTTTAATTTTACCATATTAGAGTAATTGGGTGGTTCCTCCTTTCATTGCTTTATCATCCATCAAGCACACGTTGTCTAGAAAAGTAAGCAAAAAAAGGTCATGAGCATAACTCTCTTTAATAAGCTGCAAGGTAACATAACTCACTTCAATCTGGGCTGTTAATTATGAAATCCAGTCCAGCGGTTGCTTGCGGTAATCTATAGGATGTTAAAATCACAGTGTTGACCTTGCTCTGAGAAGACTGTGTGATTAACCAGATCAACTGAAACCAGAGTAGGTCTACAGCCAGACAGAGTGGGAAGCAATTTGAACACAATGCTTTGAAAGAACTGAACCTGATACAGTTGAAGTATAAGGGCACTATGAGCCTGCATCTGTGGACAAATTAAATCAGATGAGAGTGACAGGCAGCAGTGCAGAAGCAGACTATTATAGTGTCTTGTTACCCTTCAGTCTGACCACCAGAGCGGGTTAAATGGGCTGCAGTTTCTTCATACTCTCAAAAGCAAACACATACTGTAGACTATGCTGGAATCTTAAACCTCCAGGTAGCCACATATACTGCTCTGCCTTGTATGAATTCGGCCATTTACGCAGACAGGCTCAGGTTATTTGGCGGGTAAATGGTTCTCTTTGGAGGCTTTCGTTTTAATGAGCTATCTGTTGATGAGCTCTGTCAGGGTATATGAGCCACAGGCAAAGCCCAACGCATTCGTCTGACCTCAGACTCGTAAAATCTATATCATTAACATTACAGTGCTCGCAAATGAAAATGGGATTTGTGTGTTCCAGCTTTTGTGGTTCTTGAATGCTCAGATCATAGTCGCACAAAGACTGCTCTATTCTTATAATAAAAAACTCAGGAAACACGGATGAATTGCAGTTCTAAACCACCTTGACCATGACTCCTGAACAAATCTGATTTGAGACTTTTGTGATTGTATTACAGCTTTTGGGAAGGAGAGTTTAGGCTGTTATTCTGTAAGATTGGCTTGGTTGCCCAAACTAGTGTGTGTGTTGATAAAAAGTCAATAAAAACAATAAAAACTGTCAAAATAAAAGATGTAAATAAAACACCAAACAAAAGAGATTAATTTGTTTACCTGCATGTCATGTGACCAATAACCCACATTAGAGAACTGTAAACAAAGGGGTCTGGCGCTTGGGAATCTTCGCTGTAAGAGGCTGTACAATAATTGCTTGACATGAAAAATAAACAAGAAATTAACCTTGAATTCACAATTTAAAGCATTAGTTTACATGAAAGTCATCATTTACTCACCCTCATGTTGTTCCAATCCCGTATTACTTTCCTTCTTTCTTCAATGAAACACAAAAGGAGCATTTTTGAAGAATGCGGTGGTCGTTCTTTTCCAGTCAGTTGCAATGAATGAGGACGGGGGCTTTAAAACTTCATAAACATTCAAAATAATGCAAAAAACATAAAACATCCTGAATAAATGTGAATTTATTCACATACCTTATATTGTTCTAGTCACTAATTTTTCAATCACAGATCTGTACTCTGAAATCTACATCTCACAACAGTATTCAATGAAAGCGGATAAAAACGAGGGTAACATCCTTTCTGTACAATACACTGCAGTATATTACACATTAATATTTATCACAACCCAACACAGAAGAACATTTACTTTTCATGGAATTAGGAAATAAAACAGTGTATTTGACAAAAAGCTGTCACATATACATATATACAGACACATGTAGCATTAAATAGGTTAAAAATAAAAAGTTAAACACAGTGCCATATATTTACAGCTTCTTACTATATATGTACAATAAATGTGGTACAATAAGTGTAAAACAAATCGCTAGTACATTGTCCCACAATGCATCCAACATTATTAGCTGAGCAGACATCAGTATCTTCACATGTTCAAATCCTACTGCACCTGTGAAACATCTTCTCTGAGATCCTCAGCAAACTACTTCAGTGCTAAAATGGTGCCAGCCACCTTCTTCCGTAGTGTCTCACTCATCACACAGATGCTGCAGTTTAACCAGTCATATGTACTACACTGAGCGAGAGTGACCTTTCGTAAATGCTCAGCATATTATAGGCATCTCAAATGTGCTTTAAATGCTCTTCACTGTACAAGGTAATGGAAGGACAAGTTTGGTGGGCAGACAAGTTCAGTCTAAAAGACTTCCTCTTCTTCAGCTTCACATCCGTAATCTGTAAAGACAAAGGTATGAATGAATTCATGTGGTTTGGGGATAAATGGTGAAAAAGTCAGAACGGTAAAGATTAGATTAGATGGTAGACTGCTACCAGGACACTTCTGCGATAAGCAAGTATTTGTAGATGTATGACTTGCAGAGGAGACGGGATCGGAGTAGTTTATCAAGATGATAAACACTTCAAATGCAGTCTGCCACGAATGCTAGAGAGTTACAGCCCACTTAGCATTACACAATTTGTCAAGATGAAGAGCCAGACCTTGGAACTAATCTGGGAAACCCTTGATCACTGAACCCTCGAGCCGTGACTTCATTATCCTTGTCAGTGACAAGGCTACAATCCGCTGTGACATACTGACCATTTCCACCTATCAGCTCCATGGCACTAACGCAAGACTCTTCTGCCTCTTCCTCATTTTCCTCTTCTTCCTCTGCAGGTTCCTCATATGCCACAGGCCCAATTTCCAACATGGGGGGAGGGGTGGGGGCCGGAGGGGGCTCTGGGGCTGCAGGAGGCAACATCGTGGTGATGTTGGCAGTGACCTGATATAAACAAGAAATGTTTTAGAACAAGAAACATCAATTGCCAGATTTACTATATGTGTATAAATTCACAATGCTCCCCAAACTTCGAAGATTTAAATCATAATATCAATACTTTTTGGTTGGTACCATGGTACAGAGCAGGGGCGTAGCCAGTATTGGGCCAGGGCAGCACTGGCCAGCCCACATTACTCACTGGCCCACCCAGGCAAGTTTGATAAAAATACATTTTTAATTATTCAAATGTATTTAAGAAAATATATTAATATATACCTGATTTATTGTTGACTGCTGTGTGTGTTTAATTCATTTCTCAAATAAAATGGAACTGTCGAAGCAAGTTATAGAAAGCCTCCATTGAACCCCCCAACCGTTGCGCCCCAACCGTTGTGCCCCAACCGTTGCTTCCGATTGCCGCCACAATAACGGCCGCTTCTTCCTCCCTCTCTTTCGGTCAGCCTGACGCGGGTTTACCTGCGCCAATCTAACTGCGATATTATTGTTTTAGCTTACTTCATTTTCGGGTGAACTGTCTTTGCATAATAAAAATAATAAAACAGACAGGTTATTGTCTATTGGTTTGTCCAGCCTTAATTGAGCTCTGTTGGTTGACCATGATGTTTTGCTGAATATAAAGGTGTAACGTTAACTGTTTTTGCAGTTTGTCTATTAATTTTTCTACTCTCTAAGGTTAAGTATTATTGAACTCATTTTTTTTCTATGAAAAACTATAGGCCCACTCACATTTTCACTGGCCCACCCAAAATCCATGCTCTGCCTACGCCACTGGTACAGAGGCTACTAAACATGCATCTAAAACGTTAAAATGTGGTGCTTATGTGGGTAATGCCAGTTTGAATTTGATCTGCAAAATTTCCAAATCCCATTCCTTCTCTCTATTCTATTAATCTCCATTATTTTCAGTTCTGAAGTGCAGTGGCTAAGATATGTACATAATATCGCATGCACGTTAAACATGCTAAATACATGCATCTGATATGTTCAGACTTGGTGCTAATGTAGGAAATGCAGGTTTGATTCTGGCCTGCAACAGGTCCTGATGCCATTTCCCCTCTTTCTCATGAATAATTTTCATAATAATATTTAATACTGATTCTAAGTCAGCAGCACCATAGTGTGGTGGCTAGCATGTGACATTTTCAATCACGGTGCTCATGAAAGAAATGCAGATTTGAATCTGGCCTGCAATGTTTGCTGATTCCATTCTCCCTTCTCTCCCCATAATAATTTACCATCATTCTCCACTATCTTTCCGATGAAGTAAAAAAAAAAAAAAAAAAAACCTAAAATTAGTGATTCTTCACATCACAGTCGAGGCAAAAACAGAGATTAAATCCTTCCCCTCCCCCCAAAAAAAAAAAAAAAGATTCAGGGCTACATCTCCCAGTAGGCATATGTATAAGGAAGTACAGCTCAGGGGAAGCAGAGGCCTAAATCAATTATCATGTTGTGAAAAACGGAGGAAGAGCATGAAAGTCTCACTGGTAATTATAGCACAGACTTGCCGCTGTACCGTGAGGCCGCTCTTCAGGCGGTGCCAGTAAAGGGGAAACAGCAGCAGCGGGGAACTTGTAATAGGGACTGCCAAACTTGGCAAACGCCTAAAAGACGCCCCGCAGCTCACCTGTGGGTTACACCCTGAGTGAGTAACCCAGGCTGGGATCACAGAGACATGCAGAGGCATGATGGCTGGAGAATCTGGGCTGGGGCATTAACGATCTCATTAGGAACAAGACAATTTAGAAAACTTGAGATAATATAGTACTTTTTTCATTCTACGGTTCCTTGCCACATCTGAACTAAAACCCCTTGTGCTCTGCTTGTTCTTGTTTTGTGGGGGAGAGCTGCTAATGTTTCTGAATAATGTTTTATAATTCTGAATCTCGCAGAGAAAGACACAAAACATAACACTGATCTTTTTTTCAGATGATCTCTGTAACAACCTGGAAGGGATCTCGGAAAGCTTCATTGCTTGAGCAAAGTTGACCCCTGCAGTCATTTTGTACTTGATTTTTTTTTTGCCACAGCAAATTTGTCTATTTGTGCATGCACTTTCGTATGGTTGACTTCAGATCACATTGCTGCTTATTCAAGCTTGACCATTTTGAAGAGAGGCAATAAGACCTAGAAAAGCCAATCCATCAAATTTAAACATTTACCACAGATATTGACTTTCAGTTAAATGTATATGCCATATTTACCCCCATATTGTGAAATTATTCTATTTGGCTAATTATTGCTATTTACTGCAGTGACATTTAGCTGTGATGGATTTGGTTATCATGATGGATTTACCACTGAAGTCAAGTAGGGTTAGTCAAGCAAATTTGATTTGACCTCTATCAAGCTGAAATATTGCTCACTGGGTCAACAAGAAAACAGGCCGCAAACAGTTCTGCACTGAGATGCCATTCAGTAATCATATTAGAGCCTTGGGTTAGAAATGAGGCGCATAGTTCAAAAAGAGAAGAGAAATTTCTTGCCATATTTAGTTTTCATGTCCAATCAAATGGGTTGCAAAATAATAACTATGGTTTGTGCTGACATGTGTTTCATCTTAAAACTATACTAACACTTACATTTACTAAATGTATTTTTGCCAATTGTAAGGTCTATGACCATTTGAAGAACATTTTTTTTTACCATAATGCGGGACTACTACACTGTAAACAATTATTTCCATTATTTTTTTTTCTTTTGTCAAAACAACTTAAATAATTAATGCACTCTAAAAAATGCTGGGATGTTTCAACCCAAATTTGGGTCAAATATGGACACACCCAAATGTTGGGTTAAAAATGTAATAAAAAAATGTGCATTTGAAAGTGAAAGTTGAGGTTAGGTTAAAACTTTAAATGAGATTTTTAACCCAACATTTGGGTTTGTCCATATTGGACCCAAATTTGGGTTGAAACAACCCAGCATTTTTTAGAGTGTGTGGTTCAGATAACATATTTTGAGTTTCTATTTATTAACCCATTCTCCTTTATTGTATATACATTTTTCATTTCAATGAACTCAAAATTTTAAGGCAACCAGGTAACTTTTTTTAAGTTAAACTAACAATAATTTTTACACTGTACTCTGTCTAATGAAAAATAATCTTTGAATGGAAAATCAAACATATTATAAACATTAACAGTAAAGGCCCTCATTTAACCTACCAGTGTGGTTGGTGTCCTCTTTTTCTTGGGAGCGGACGATATTAAAGGGCGGAGCCTAAAGAAACAAGGTAGAAAGGTAAAATAATTATTTAATGATTTTTCAGTGGCCTCACCATTCTTCACAGCAGCTTATATAGAAGAGCTCAAGAGCCCGTAACAAGCCTAATTTTCCTTCTAAAAATATGAAAATATGAAGCATACTTCCTGCCCCCTCCTTCACTCCCATCCCACAGCAGATTACAGAGGCATTTCTAAAGCAATAGATTCACACTGAGACCTGCACTACTGGGGCCAAAGAAGCCCTGTGGCGCTGATGAAATGCTTAGCTTACACTTCCTGGCGACTGGATTTAAACATCAAACACCAGCACTATTTAGGGCTAATATTAAAGAGACCAGTATAAAACATTAATTAGTTTGACGGGGGAAGGGAGAGAGAAAGAGGGAACGTTCTGAAATGAGAATGACCTTGATCTGGCTTCATGTTAGTCCAGTGTGCACCGTGAAGACAGACTGCTATTTATGTCATAATTATGATAAGCTGGTTCAGAGCTAAAGTTGTCCAACGGCAGTTAAATGTTTTGCCTGTGCATTTCTACAAGACAGAGTACTGTACTATACTCAAAAACTTGATGTCTTCACCTGCTTTTTTTAAAAATGTGAATGCTTAGAGCTTGTCTCATTCAAAGCTCCATCTGATCTCATAATGTTTACGTTAGAGTATGTCAAGAGTATAGAGTTGAGTATCTCATAAGGTTTACGTTAGAGTATGTCAAAAAAAAAAATCAAGGCTTGATGTGTAAGGTGTCTTTGACTGCCCAAAGACTCCCCTGAATGTGTTAGAATGACTGAGCATAAAAACAGTATTATAAGTAGGCAAGAATTTGCACAATACTATTTAAAACAGCACTGACTGTAAATAGAAAGTTGCCTTCAGAATATTTTACAGCAAATTCCACACAAAATGGAAGCCAAATAATCCCAATATTTTGGAAAGCTTTACCAAAACAGACATGAATGGTGTACATTGTTCACTTTGTTCCACTAATGTATTCATTCATGATATACTTGCAATAGTACTGAAAGTACTGCTTATGCAAATGCAGCTTCACATAGAGTCTCAATATTGTCTAAATATACAGAACAACCCACACAAATAAATTCACACAGGCATATAAACACACAGTAAAGTGCAGCAAAGCTGGGCAGTGACTGTGCCTCCCTGGTGAGATCTCCCCGAGGACTTTGTGAGAGCACTTTCTTGGCCGATAAGGGAAAGTGCTGCTAATTAATCTGCTTAAGGAAGAGAGGAGGAGGAGAAAAAGAGCGAGCGAGAGAGAAAGTACACGCTGAGAACGGGGCTTCCTTTGTCGTAACTCATTAGGAGTGGCGGCCTACATCAGCCATCTGCAGCATGCTGGCCGAGTCGAATCTGTTCTGGACAGATCTGCGCACCAGTGTCCTGGCCCTGGCACACATCCTCAACATAACTCCAGTATTAGGATTATCTGACACATTACTGGAAAACACAATCACCCCCGAGCGCCCTCGCATCGTGAATAGTCTTGGGAAGAAGCACAGATCTACAACCCAAGTGTGACTAACACACTTACAAATCTTCAGCCATGGAAGTGAAATGGCTTCCAGCTGAATCTAGAGCACATATTGTGTATCGGATGCCTCTGCTTGCGGGGACTGAGAAACGTAGATAATCTTACAATAGCGAATGCAAGAGCTCAACTGAAGGGAGTGAGGATGAAAATGAACCAGAAATAAGATCTGAGCAGAAAGTTCAAGCGATTGTTTTGCCCCACCAAGGGCATGTCAAGGGGGAACAAAGGCAGACCTTTTTAAAACAAGAAAGATTTATTTGAGAACACAGTCCATTGAACAATATTTGTAATGTACAGTTATGTGACTAATGAGATTTCACATTTGTACTTTATTACAATATTGTAGAAGAAAAAAAATAAAAACCAGGCTAGTATGACCATTTAGAACCTTTTTACGCAAAATTCTGTGAGCAAAATCTCAATAGAAAGCTGTAGTTTTCAACACTATTCTCATTGCCATTAGTAGCTATTTAACATTTTGGCAAATTGGTGTCTAATTCACATGAATTTAAACAATGCAATTTGCAGTGTTGTAGTCGAGACCACCTCACTCGAGTCCGAGTCTAGACCGAGACCATAGAGAGTCGAGTCCGAGTCAAGACCGAGTCCATTGAGAGTCGAGTCCGAGACCAGAGACAGTCGAGTCCGAGTCGAGACCGAGACCAGTGAGGGTTGATTACCTAATTTACTTTTATTTACTTAGAGAAATCCTTTTTTTTTTTTTTTACTGAATTTACTTAGAGTTTAAAAAATATGATCAGTTTATGGTAAAAAGGCCACATAGTAGGTGGTGCTAAAAGCAATTTTATTACAATTTGTCATTACGCAGTTTCGCACTAGAAAATCACCAATCACTGGGCGTGTCAACCAATTTAAAGAAATATTTTATTAACATACATTAATAATCATGAAAAATATTTTGAATTGAACACGAGTGGACTCGGGAATAAGTCCGAGTCCTAAAAAAAAAAATGTTCGAGTATGAGTCAATTCCGAGTCCAAATGCACACGAGTCCATGACAAGACCAAGACCATTAAAATATGGTCTCGAGACCGAGTCCGAGACGAGTCCGAGTCTCTCGAGTACTACAACACTGGCAATTTGTATATTTTCATGCAATCTGCTTATGGCCAGGGGGCCATAATGTTGAGGGGGGGCGGACCTTCATGTTTACTTTTTTCTGATAATCATGTGTTTTTGTATGATTCACCTTGTACAAATTCATACGCCGTTATGTTTTCTTGTGAGATCAGGTTGATAATTTCGCATAAGGGAAGTCCCGTGGACTTCACATTGGATTCAATTTTGTTGAACTGAACCAATATAAAGCTGCTTGATTTGAAAGGTTTGAAAGCTGCTTGGTTTAGAAGCGGTACTTCCTGCAACTACAACCCTGTCTGCGAAATATCACAGAAGTTTAGCTAATGTCACGTTAAATAGATTAGAACAGAGTGTTTGAGAGTAGCAGCCTATGAAGACAGCAGACAGCAAGACAGCTCACCAGGGTTTTGGATCAGAGCCATCAGCTCAGAGGTTTCCGCTCTAACACAGACGCACTTACCCCGGCTCCTGAGTACAGTGAATACTGACCCTCCCACGGCCTTCTCTATAAATCACTGATGCAATTTATGGCAGACTGTCTGCTCATCTCTAAACACATTACAATCAAACAACTAGGCACACGGGCGGCACTAAGGCCATTTAACCAGGCAGAATTAACCACCAAAACTCCAGTGTCCGATTGACAAAACCCTGTAAACACATCCAATTATACTTCAAGATCTCTTTTATGCATTTAATAGTGGACATCTGGTGCCCAGAGATGTCAGATCAGTGAGCGTCAGAGAGAGAGAGAGAAAAGAGAGATATAAAACAGGAATATTCAGAATGTGTATCTCGAGGACAATCTCTAAATGTGAACGTTGAACCCGCGATCTTCTCCATCTCTGTTTCCACAGCACAGACCCTTCATGCCCGGCAGGGGCTGACCACCACATCACAACACAATCCTCCATAACCCCCCTGGGTAGCACATTCACATATTACACACACTGCGAGTGACAATGAGCTGAATGTCCCCTGGCATTTGACCATGACCACTGGGAACCGTGAGGGTCCTGTATGTGTTTGGAGGTTAGATGTCAAGATGAGTCCTGTATAAAAACACATATTCAGTAATGTGTGTGCATGCTCTGAAATGTGAAGGGTAAGTGAACGATGATGTCAGTAGGTGTGTGTTTGGTCTGTGAGGTAAGTGTCAATTTCAGTGGAGTGTGATGCACTGGAGTGGGGTGACATTAAGGTCACAAATCAAACATGTATGATGTGAGACTATGAACAAGATTGTTTCAATTTATACAAGTCTTCATTTGCGCTATATTCCTGTTTTTGTATGCTGTGCTTCACTAGTTCCCTATGAGTTAGTATATCATCCATACAAATTTGAGTGCAGGCAAGAGACTTGATTTTCTGAACATTGAGACACTGATGATTTAAGCACTAAAACTACACTTGTACTTATCGGCTTCATCACTGTACAAACGTTCAAAAAGTTTGAGATCCATCTAGGATCATTTGTTATGTTTATCATGCATCTTCACTCCCCATTTCTGTTGAATTGAGACTGGAGGAAACATGATGGTTTCAGCAAGTGAACATATGCATTTTAAGAATTTCTTTTGCGTCAGACTGTGAGATACTGTATACATCTTAGCTAAGACTAAGGTCACAAATGACAGCACTGACTGGCATTTTAAGTCCCTAGAATCGTCATTTACATACAAAATGTGAAATACTGCAATGCTGTTCTGAGAACCTCATCTCAGAAGATATTGTAAAGGCAACTGATCCAAAGAGCAGTGACTGGCAACTTTGCCCTCCAACAATTATTATAATTTTTTTTATGATCCTTGAAATCTCTCTTAATTTAACACAATCTCACTGATCTTTCAGTGAAACCTAAAGGGTTGAATCAGAGTTAAATATGACAGAATAAAGATTCGATTTAACATATTGTGTAAGGAACTTCATTAAATTGAAAATAGTCTGTCAGCCTAGCAAAGCCATAGGTAAAACATAGTATTTTCTCATATCCTGTACACAGGAGGTCCGAGGCACATTCACACACTGCAACATCAGGTAGTATCTGTGCATTGCTTCCCCCTCACAGAATTTTCACAGGTGCCTGGCACCAGGCGAACGTGTGAAGTCAAAATGGCTACATCTGCAGAACAGAACTGTGACATCTTTACAGAGAATAAATCACCAGAACCAGATGGCTGACCTGCATTATTGAACAGAGTGCTACATTTTGGGTGTCCCTCTTGTGACCTCTCAGGAGGAGGTAAAAACGGGCCAATCCACAGGTCAGACGGGGTGCCCTCAGGGCTGAGTGGGTGAAGCTGGTGAGGACACCCAGCCCTTATGCCAGGCTTCACACACC